GGATACCAAGTTCAGAAATCTATAGCACAACCCAAAGAACCCAGCTGCTGACAGCTGCTGGCTTGTTGTATTGCTCAGTGTTGTATTTGCAATAGAATGGTAACAATAATGATTTGTTTAGGTTCCAGTATGTGACAGGCATTATACCAGGTGCAGTTTGGGCCGGGGGCGGGGGGGGGGGGGGAGAATTGTTCTTCGCATATATTAACTCAATCCTAATACTAATTCAGTGAGGTTTTTTTTATTAGTTATTCTCATTTTTAAGATGAGGACCCCAAGGTTCAGAAAATGGAAAATTTGTCTGAAGTCAAATAGTTGATAAGAGGCAGAAACAGGACTCAAATCCCCTGCCTTTTGAGTTCAAGTTCCATGGTGTTCCATCATGCAGTGTGTCTCCGGGTCCTCTCAGAGCTCTGCATTTTTGAAAGTATGCAGAATGGCAAGATCAGAGAGGCATTTTTACACAAAAGCATCAGGAGATTCCTTCTTTCTTCTCACCATATTTACTAAACGTCTTGTCTCATTTTCCTTATCTAAAAATAGGGAAGGCAAAGCTTGATTTCCATGGTTGTTATGAGGATGAAATTAGATGACATATATAAAGCAAAGAGCACAATGTAAAGTAAGCGTCCAGCATCAGTGTTTATAGCAGTTGCAATGCTGAATTCCCTTGTATGATGGAAAATTTTTCTAAAGGCCTCACATTTGGACTGAGTTGATAGTCAGAGGCCAGATCGTAAAAAGCTTTATGTATCATGAAAAGAAGACTACGCAAGGCAGTAGAAACCACTGAAGAATTTTATGACTCGGAAGATGTGATTTGGTTGGCAATTTAGAGCCAAACAAGGGGAAGAAAGCAGAAGCCAAGGCAGGCAGACTGGCAGGAGGCTTCAGTCAGAGACCAGGCAGATGAGGGTCTGAGTTAACAGACCAGCTGGCATGATGGAGGTGGGGGGGAGGTGCTGAAGTGGAACAGACAGTGGACAGTCACGCTCTCAGACTGGTGCCTGGGTTTGTAGGAAAAAAGAACGAGGAGCTCAGCCTCAAACCTCTGGCCTGGGTATTGTATTGGTTCTTCTTGGGCATGATCAGAATGCAGAGGAGGGGCAGGTTGGAGGCATGGAAAGGTGCTCATTCAGAGTAGTTTGGGACAAACAAGGAAGTCACAGTGAAGTGTGTTGAAGTGGTAGTCGCTCAGTCGTGCCCGACTCTGCGACCCCATGGACTGCAGCCCGCCAGGCTCCTCTGTCCATGGGATTTTGCAGGCAAGAATACTGCAGTGGGTTGCCATTTCCTTCTCCAGGGGATCTTCCCGACCCAGGGATCGAACCCAGGTCTCCTGCATTGCAGGCAGATTCTTTACTGACTGAGCTATGGGAGAAATCCAAAGTGCAAGCCCTGTCACAGTAGACAGTTGAATACGCAGATCTAGAGTGAAGGGAGCGTGCAGGCCTGGAGGTGGCGCTAGTGGTAAAGAAGCTGCCTGCAATGAAGAAGACCTGGGTTTGATCCTTGGGTCAGGAAGGTCCCCTGGAGGAGGGCATGGCAACCCACTCCAGTGTTCTTGCCTGGAGAATCCCATGAACAGAGGAGCTTGATGGGCTACAGTCCATGGGGTCGCAAAGAGTTGGACATGACTGAGGCAACAAGCAGCATGCCTGGAGTTATTGAAATCATGGAGGTCGATGAAGTTCCCCAGGGAAGGGATATAGGGTGAGGATGGGGCAGTATTCAACACACAGTATTTAACAGTGGCAAAAGAAGTGGAAGGAGACTGAGGAGGAACACCTAGAAAGATGAAAGAGTTTCCAGGGGGTTGTTTTCTGCTGAGGATAAGGCCGCAGAGAGTGCAAATAATGCAAGGAAGGCCTGAACATGCCTGTTGGATTTGGCAATTGGGTCAGTGGTTTTGACCTTAAAAATAAAACACCCAGTTATTTTAACAGCAAGTGGATTTATTCAAGCATAGCAGAGGAATTGCACTTTGGAACAAGTGAGCTGTGACAAAAGCCACAGGCAAGTCCAACATATAAAAGAGAGGAATGTTATTTTATCAAGAAAAAGGAGGAAGTTGAGAAGGGGGTGTTTTGAACAAAAGTCCATGAGAGAAAAGTGAGAGTTCATGGTGATGACCATTACTCATTGGTTGTTGAGTTGTGGAGGTAGTCAATTTCCTTTTTTGTTTTCCCAAAGAAACTATTTATTTTTCATTTATTTATTTATTTATTTATTTTGCTGCTCTGTGTCTTAGTTGCTGCATGTAGGATCTAGTTCCCTGACTAGGGATTGAACCAAGGCCCCCTGCATTCGGAGCACAGAGTCTTAGCTACTGGACCACCAGGGAAGTCCCTGAGGTAGTCAGTTTTTTGTAGGAAATGCAATGTATATCTTTTCCTGTTGGGCCTGTGCTTAATGGTTCTTTCCCATTAATACTTCTTCTGTTGGGGTCCAAAATCACTGCAGATGGTGACTGCAGCCATGAAATTAAAAGACGCTTACTCCTTGGAAGAAAAGTTATGACCAACCTAGACAGCATATTAAAAAGCAGACACATTACATTGCCAACACAGGTCTGTCTTAGTCAAAGCTATGGTTTTTCCAGTTGTCATGTATGGATGTGAGAGTTGGACTATAAAGAAAGCTGAGGGCCAAAGAATTGATGCTTTTAAACTGTGGTGTTGGAGAAGACTCTTGAGAGTCCCTTGGACTGCAAGGAGATCCAACCAGTCCATCCTAAAGGAAATCAATCCGAAACACGTATATTATCTAGGGTGAAACAGATCACCAGCCCAGGTTGGGTACATGAGACAAGTGCTCGGGCCTGGTGCACTGGGAAGACCCAGAGGGATCGGGTGGAGAGGGAGGTGGGAGGGGGGACCGGGATGGGGAATACATGTAAATCCATGGCTAATTCATTTCAATGTATGACAAAACCCACTGCAATGATGTAAAGTAATTAGCCTCCAACTAATAAAAATAAATGAAAAAAAAATAATAATAATTAAAAAAAAAAAAAGAAATCAATCCTGAATATTCATTGGAAGGACTGATGCTGAAGTTGAAACTCCAGTACTTTGGCCACCTGATTTGAAGAACTGACTTATTTGAAAAGACCCTGATGCTGGGAAAGATTGAAGGCAGGAGAAGAAGGGGATGGCAGAGGATGAGATGGATGGCATCACTGACTCAATGGACATGAGTTTGAGTAGGCTTGGGGACTTGGTGATGGACAGGGAAGCCTGGCATGCTGCAGTCCATGGGGTTGCAAAGAGTTGGACACAAGTCAGTGACTGAACTGAACTGTTGGGGTCTATGATTGACAATTTCTCCTATAATTGACCTCTGTGGTAATTGCATGAGAACTCCCCCTTCTGGCCTCACTGCTCCATTTTAGTGAGGGTTCCCTTTACTAAGTTTCATGACTGGAAACTAGGCAAGACCAAGTGCCCAGAAACAGAATTCAGTTGGCCAGTGGATTAAGAAGAAAATTAAACTTTTTAAGGAGAGAAACTAGAGTTTGGATGCTCCCTGATATACAAGCATCTCACTCCCTTGCCATGTATTTCTTCCTACTGTTGGTGAGCTCTGACTAATGGAAGGTCTTACAGAGGCTGTCCTTACAGAACATCTATCTTCTGCCTGCACTCTCCCTCGGCTCTAGCTCAGCTGTCCAGGTCCATACCAGCCAAGTCTATGTGCCACCCCAGAGAACTGTCCATTCTGCCTCCTCACTCCATCATCTCTTCCAGCCCTTCATTCCTCAGATCCCCAGACTCGCAGACTTGCCTTTAACCCTGACTCAACAGTGGATTCTCTTTTATTAAAACTGGGTTTGATTTTTGGTAACATCAGTCTTTATTTCTTGTCCTATTAGGCTGGTGACTTTTCAATATTTTTAAACCTCAACTCAGAATAAGAGGTACATTTTGCTTTGTGATAGGTGTATACCTGTATGTATAACTGAAAGGAGATGCACTCTTATTTTCAATTCCATCATTCCATTCCATTCTGTGCTATTCTATATCATGTTTTTAGATGCTGGTCTTAGCCTGCCACATTAATTTCACAACCCATTAAACTGATTTAGAACTGGTGGAGCCAGGAGGGGCTCAAAGGAAAAGATATTAAGTATTTATCTGAATCCACTCCCTCCTCTCTTAGGCTGATCTGCACCAGAAAGGCAGCCTTCACTCTGATTATATTTTTATGGTTCTAAGAGGAAAGAGTCATTTAAGATGCCAGCCAACCTTGAGGGGGAGGGTTGGTATTTGAATCTGCAGAGTGGCTTTGTGACTCATCAGAGGAAGGTAAGCAGCTCTAATGGTGGAATTTAGAAATCAGTGGAGAAGAGACGGGCTTACCTTTCAAATCATACCCTGTGGGCTACCGTCCCTGTGCTTTCTCATGAGACACCCGACAGCCTGGAGTATTGTCACGCCTGGAGGATGCTCTTAGGCGGCCTTACTACCACCTCTGACGAGGGACGTTTACAATTTCCCAGAGTTTAGGAGTACGGCTGCCTCTTTATCCGGGCTACCCAACCCCCACCCCAGCCATCCAGCTGTCAGGACTTGTACTTGTCTGGTCTGTATGTCCTTTTATTCCCTGGGGTGGCATTCCCCCACTGCTTGGAAACCACTGTCTCCAATAGAGCTTGCAGCAAAAAACATTTGGGGATTTTTTTTTTTAATAAGAAAAGATGACATGTATTCTAACATTCTCTTTCACAATATCTTTTCTACTCGCCCCAGGAAGAGCAAGGATTTCTGAATACACCTTGCCTACAGATAGAAGGATATTTTTGCCAGAGGAATAGCAGAGGTCTTCTCTCATCTGCTCAACGATACCTGCTGCTGCCATAGACACTTGGGTCCTCAAGAAATTTCCTGAAGGGCTTGTCTGTTGCGTACCTGCAATGAGCCAGGCCCTAAGCTGGGCCACGGCTACAGCCTGGTGAACAAAACTCTCTCCCAAGCCTCAAGCGCTCACACCCAGGGAAGATGAGTGAAGATCGCTGGGTGTCCCTCACTCCAGAAGAATTTGGCCAACTCCAGAAATATGCGGAATGTGAGTAAACGGATGGACCCATCTCAGTTGGGATTTCCTCTTGGTTGAGGAGAGCATTTTTGGAGAGCAGAGTAGTGTACCATAGCAAAGCAAAGAGAATGAGATCAACTTATTATCTCCTTATAAAAATAGAATTTGTGTCTTTAAACATAAAAATGCAATTATCTTTATACTCTATAAATGATACATTCTCACCAAAGAAATCTGGAATATCCAGGGAAGAAAAAAAAAAGTAGGTTAGAAAATTACAGCTAAATGCTATGAGCATCTTGTCACACTCCCGTCCTGTGTATATTGCTTTCTGTGGTCGAGTTCCTGAATATACCTTTTTCCTTTTCGGTCTTCATTTTTTTAAATAATGTAAGATTGTGTTTTCTCAGCTTGTCAAAACCTCTTTCTAGCCTACCTTCTGAAAGGCTGCAGGCTACTTGGTTACAATGTTGCTCAGTCATTTGCTTTAATATCCTCTTGTGTTTGGACCCAAAGCCTTCTTTCAGTAAGATACAGAATTCTGATGCATGTCACTTCTTTCACTTTGTATTGGAAAGCCTGGGCTTTCATATGGGGCTCTCGGTTTCACTAGCTGCACCCAGGAACAATGTCAGTGCATCAACACACAGTGGGGGCAAGGCCTACATACACTCACAGCCCCAAAGCTGTGCCCCCCGCAGGCCGCTCCTAGTCCTGATTGTTGACAGGAGTTGATCCGGGCTGACCGCTTCACTCTGCACACACACAGTGCCTGTCATGATTGGGCAACGGCACTGATTTTTACAGAGCCCTTTGTCTTTCAGAGCCCTCAGCAGCACTCCTAACCCCACCCCAGTTTTCTAACTCCTCTCCCTTCACGTTAATTGTGCACTCCTTGACCTGCCCTACAGCACTTGCCCAGGCAGATCATCCTCTGAAGTGGGGCAGCCTGCCCCGCTTCCACAGGGCACTGGTCTGGGAGTCAGTCTCTGGGATGTGACAGCCCTTAACACCCACCCCACCCTTTAGATCCCCTCCCCCACACCCCCAACCTTAGTGTCCTCTTATGCAAAATGAGAGGGTTGGACTAGATGATCTTTCCCTGTGGTCCTTCCAGGCCTAACACCCCATGATTCCATGTGATCCAGCTGTGGGACTACTGGTCTCTCTCTCCCTGGTACTCTGGAGCCCATGGCCTCTTGTATGACCACAGTAGATTTAGAGAAGTCTGAAATGTATTGGCAAGGAGCAAGGAATCGCCCTCCAGGGTAAGTGTTAGTCATGGGCTTCCTTGATGGCTCAGATGGTAAAGAATCTGCCCGCAATGCAGGGGGACCCGGGTTCAATCTCTGGTTTGGGAAGATCCCCTGGAGAAGGGCATGGCCTACCCACTCCAGTGTTCTTGCCTGGAGAATCCCATGGACAGTAGAGCCTGGCAGGGTTTCACGGGGTTGCAAAGTTCATGGGGTTGCACAGTTCATGGGTCGCAAAGTCTGTCTGTCCCTGGTACTCTGGAGCCTGTGTCCTCTTGTATGACCACAGTAGATTTAGAGACCTCTGAAATGAATTGATAAGGAGCAAGGAACCACCCTCCAGGGTAAACTCATCTAATTCTGCCCACTCTGTGGGTCAACAAAGTATCAGGCCCTGCCAGGGAGGAAGAAGCAGCAGAGAGATAAGGCTTTGCCTGAGGAATCGGAATCTTGTTAGGGCGGCAGAAACGTACTTTGACATAAGCAGAGAACAGACTCAAGGCAGCAGGGAAACCGTGCACAAAGGAGAAGGGGATTTGGAGCTGGGGGAGGCTGAAAGGAATGGCTTAGGATGTGGCTCCGTCGGTGAAGAATCCACCTGCTATGTGGGAGACCTGGGTTCCATCCCTTGGTCAGGAAGATCTCCTGGAGGAGGGTATGGCAACCCACTCCAGTATTCTTGCCTGGAGAATCCCCATGGACAGAGGATCCTGGCGGGCTGCAGTCCACGGGGTTGCAAAGAGTCGGGCGCAACTGAGCGACTAAGCACAGCACACACAGGATGACAGAGAGTCTGTCACAGCTTTTAGGGCCAGAAGTCCAAAATCCAGGCTCCTCCTGAGGGCTGTGAGGGAAAGATCTGTTTCCTCGGCTTATGGGTGACTGTCTTCTCCCTTTAGTTTTCAGGTGGTGCCCTCCCTCTGCACGTGTCTCAGTGTCCAAATTTCCCTCTTTATGTGGAAAGCCTTTTTTTTTAATCCTTACTTTTTAAATGTGTTTTTTATTGAAGTATATAGTTGATTTACAATGTTGTGTTAATTTCTGCAGTACAGCAAAGTGACTCAGTTATGCATACATACACATCCATTTTTATTTTCTTTTCCATAATGATTTATCAAAGGGTATTGCATACGGTTCCCCATGTTATACGATAGGATTCTGTTGTTTATCCATCCTGTATGTAATAGCTTACATCTGCTAATCCTAAACTCCCAGTCCATCCCTCCCCCAGCTCACCTTGGCAACCACAAGTCTGTTCTCTACGTCTGGATAGAGTCATTTTGGATTGAACCCACCCTACTCTAGTAAGACCTCATCTTAACTAATTACCTCTGCCATGACCCTGTTTCCAAATAAGGTCACATTCTGAGGTACTGAGGAATTAGGACTTCAACATATAAATTTGCAGGGGAGACAACTTAACTTGTAACAGAGGATTCACCTGGGTGAATTCTGTGGAGAAAAGAGTTTAAGCCGTGACTAGTAGATGGTGAGGGGAGGAGTTGAAACGGGGAGCAAAGGTGAAGGGGAGCAAGTGGGGAGGTTGTGCGGAGGTAAGAAGAGCTTCTGAGCCAGGTGAGGAGAAGGAGCAGGAGGGTGGGGAGGCAGACGGGGAGGCAGGGGGTAGCAGGAGGCCTGAGGCCCTGCCTGTCAAGGCGTGGCCTTTGACCGAAGTGGCAAAATGTAGAGCCATGGATCTGATGGCTGAGTGCAGGGTAATCTGGATGAGAAAGTTGCCAGGTCAGGGAGGGCAGACAAGTCCTCTGGATGAAGAATGAAATCTCTCATCTGAACTGAGGCACAGAGCTGAAATGGGGAATGTGGCAATGAACAGATGCTAATTTGTGGGAAATTACTGAGGAAGTATCCTCAAAACTTGTGGAACAAAATGAAGCCAGCAAAGATACCTCGAAACCTGTGAATCTGTGCATAGTAAGGGACAGAGGGATCCAGATGTGGCAAAGCCTCTGTGGAGGCAGGAGGTGAAAAGAAACTCAAGTATTTGGTAGGAGTGGCTCCTCTGTGGTCTTTTTTTTCAACCATCAGCTTTATCTTTCTTGGCTCCATCCTCATTTTGTCTGTGTCTCAGGACAGGACAAGGGGCTCTAGCACCATTGTTCTAACAGAAAAGAAAAAAAAGATGTGATTCTTAGAAAATGATTAATCCTCAGAGGAAACCCTGAACAAGGCACTTCTACCAATTTTAGACGCATTCTGGCGTTTAGTCAGATTGCATTGCCATAGCAACTGCTCTTCCATAACCATAAAAACAGGAGCTCTACAACAGCAGAATAGCTGAAGTGTACAGCCTGAAAATTGAGAACTTTCTCCAGTGGAGTTCTAGGTAGGAGAGGCCAAGAATTTCAGGACAAGAGGTTTTCGATATGCTCTGTTTCAAGAGCATAAACCCTGCACCTTCTCTTCAGTCAGGGGAGAAACTGTGTTAAACTACCCTTGGATATAATATATATGTATATATTATATAATTGACAGTGGCATGGTGTGCATGTGTGCTTAGTCATGCCCAACTCTTTGTGACCCTATAACTGTAGCCAACCAGGCTCCTCTGTCCATGCAATTCCCCAGGCAAGAATACTGGAGTGGGTTGCCATTTCCTACTCCAGGGAATCTTCCTGACCCAGGGATGGAATAGAACCCAGGTGTCCTGCACCTCCTACATCAGCAAGTGTATTCTTTACCACTGTGCAATGTGAATTAAGAGTGCTTGTCAAAAGAATAATATGACAGTTTAAGCTTTTTTGTTACAAAATAAAAACAAATGTAAAAATTTTGAAAGTGAAAAGATGAAATTTAAAGCTACTCATGATCCTATCACACTTCTCTGATGACTCAGTGGGTAAAAAATTCCGCCTGTAATGCAGGTGGCGCTAGTTTGATCCCTGGGTTGGAAAGATCCCCTGGAGGAGGAAATGACAACCCACTCCAGTATTCTTGGCCTGGAGAATTCCATGGACAGAGGAGCTTGGGGGGCTACAGTCCATGGGGTCACAAAGAGTTGAACACGACCGAGTGCGTGCGCATACACACACACATGATCCTATCTCTCAGTGATAAACACAACTCATATGTTTATGTATAAATATAAATATTAAAATACATATTACACACATAGACATATGTATTTTAAAAACATCTAGACTATTTTGTGTGTTGTTTTCTTCACTCTAACAATATGTTTCAGTTATCCATTGCCGTGTCATAACAGGCTCAAAACTTGATAGGTCAAAACACCCATTTTGGTTTTGTTCCCGTGATCCTGTGACTTGGGCACCTGGACAGGGCCCAGTAAGATGACTTGTTCCTGCTCCACAGTGTTTGGGGTTGCAGCTGAGATGCCTCACATGACTCTGTATGGCCTGTTCACTCACTTGCGGGTACCTCAGTGCTCCTCCATGGGGCCTGTTCCTCCAAGCACTTTCTCATCTTCCCTGGTGACTCAGAAGGTAAAGAATCTGCCTGTGGTGTGGGAGACCCAGGTTCAGTCCCTAGGTAGGGAAGATCCACTGGAGAAGGAAATGGCAACCCACTCTAGTATTCTTGCCTGGAGACTTCTCTGGACAGAAGCGCTTGATGGGCTACAGTCCAGGTCACAAAGAGCTGGACATGACTGAGCAACTAATGCTTCAAGTTTTTTTCAGGACCTCTCCATGTGGCATCTCTTGCCAGCAGGGTAACTTGGATTTTGTACATGTGGCTCAGAGCTCCAAGATATAAAAATAGCAGCAGACATTCTCAATACCTGGGTTGAGTACTAGA